TAGCATGCACCCTTTAGCATGGGAATGAACCCCCAAGCTGTTCCACGTGTGATCAGCAGACCTATAGGTCGGACACAGCCAGTTGGACTCACATTAATGCAGAACATAGATATCAGTTGTTCTCCAAACCAATGAGAATTGAAACATTCACACAGAGACAGAGAAAGTCAAACAAACTTGCTTCTCTAGCATCACCCTCTCTCTCTCTCCTGTTTTTTTTCTTCAGCTTCTCTCCACCTTGCATCTGTATTCACTGCAGCATGAAGTGTGAATGAGAAGAGGAAAGTGTAGAATGGAAATAAAAGCAAGAGGCTGTGATTTGTCTTGTCCTTTGTTCAGAGGAAGGGAGAGAAAGTTAGACAGGGAGAGGATGGAGTGGGTGGACAGTGGTATTGAGTAATTCTTCCTCAAACATAAAGAGAGACAGAAGAAGGGAGAGGTCTATGTGTGTTGTGAAAGTGAGAGGCAGAGAGAGCAGGATGGAGAGAACAATTTGAGGAGGGAGAGGAAGAGAGGAAGAGAGAGATGAGGGGATGTGAAGGGCTCAAGAGAGAAATGGACAGAGTGTGAAATCACAGTGAGACCATTGTGAGAGTGTTGTGTTATTAACCAGTGACCTATTTCTCTCTCACACTATTTCCTTTAATTTTTCTTTTCAGAAACAAATAGCACTAACTCTTTTTTTCTCCAACTTCTTATTCATTAAACAGAACAAACAGTCCTTTACCTTTGTGTTCTTTCTGCATATGTGTGTCTGCATGTCATATTGGCCTCGGCACTTTGCCTCATGTATTGATTCACCAGTGGAACTAGGTGAAGGAATCTCTGAGAGGCTTGTGGGTTCGGTAACATATACAGACACAGTTGAGCTTGACTCAGATTTGAACCTTCAGTTGAGCGTTAATTGAGCGTCGATGTCGTGTTCAGAACCAAAGCATAAAGTCTTTAGTTGTTTATGAAAACCAAAAGTGACAAAAGCACAGATCTACTAATCATTTGCAGCTTGAAATTCCCTGTCAGAACAATAGTGACATTCCTCAATGCTGGTATCATTGGGCTGATGAATCAGTTTCCCTGACAGTGTTTGGTGGTCATCACCACAGAGCTTTGATTGTCTGAAAAAAGGGGAATGGAGTTTAATGGCCCCATGTATGAGTCTTGCCTTTTCACATACGCCTTCAATATTTTGAAAAAACAGACAAGGAATAGTATTATAGCCCCATTTATACATCAATCACACACATACACAAACACTGGCAACCCTCTTACCTTTCACACTCTCAGACGTGAGGAGGAAATGGGCTCTCAGGGGTGGGGGGACTTTATGAGTTACGCCTTGTAAAGCGTGCAATGGTAAAATCCTTCCCCCAGGCTCTTACTGATGTGATGGGCTCTTTTATTGGGGTCAGGAGAGAGTATAGCACTGAATCGTGTGTCTGTGTGTGTGTGTACGCCGTGCTATGGGATTTTTTTTTTAACACAAACTGTTGACCTGACAGTAAGCCTTAGTATCTTAGATCACCTGGGTCACCAAGGTTACATATTTATTGTATACAGGTGGAATCTCAGTTTATCTGAAACCCTCATCGAGAGACACACTTTTATATTTACACACACAATTATCTTCATCTGACAAAGACTTTAACACAAACACTCTCATACACACTCGCTCACTCACACAATTTATTGAACCAACTCCCCTAAATGGCCTGTGGTCATTTAATGATGCAACCAAAGGCAAGCCTGTAATGTGCTGTATTAGGTATGTGTCTGTGACAGAGAGCGAGAAAGAGAGAGAGAGAGAGAGAGAGAGACAGCGAGAGAGAGAGAGAGAGAGAGAGAGAGAGAGAACACAGAGAGAGAGAGAGAGAGAGAGAGAAATGTGCATATAAACAGTAACACAGTAAGAGCTGTTATTTGCCTTTGTGCTCTTTACTTGGCAGTGTTTTAGTTACCAGCAGGCTTTTATGCTTTTATTTCGTAACACATACCATTCGAGGTGAGTTTGTTCAGTGTGACATGACCTTGTTTTGGTCGCCTTTGGCTGTTTGCCCTAGGGCAATAAAATAATTCATAGCAAATACAGTAATTTGTACCAAATAGGACTAAGATTTTTAAATCTCTTCCAGAAAATTGCATTATATCCGTACATATGTTATTATTATCTAGCTGCACAGTAATGCAGTGGAGGATAATTAATTAATAATCCAATTTACTTGAGATCAAAGTAAAGCTCAAACATGAGGATACTATGTTGTATATTTACAGCATTTGACAAACACTATATTTTTCATTAGTTTTCTTCCTTGTTTCTAACTTTATTTTTATTTCTGATCACATCCCTGCTCACAGCTAATAGATCTGAAAGTGAATAAATATATAATTTAAATCATTAACAGTCTTTCTTCTATTCTTTGAATGCTCTACCTCAGAGCGCAGTGGGGTTTGGAGTGTTTTGGGATCACCATGCGATTCGTAATCCCAAGGTGGTGTTTAATGGGAAGTGCAGTATAGAATCACACTTCAGACGAGGATTCATCTCTGCTAACAACAAGAAACAGACAAAAGATCTCTCCTCCTCTCTCCTTCCCTCTTAGGAGACACATAAACACAGCAGTCTTTTCATCTAACCCGCACCTCCGGGCCCTGACGACATAAATTCCTACCTTGTTTAGATAACACCTGGTATGACACTCGTAAAAATAGATTTCACACATCTTTTTTTATAGTATAACCCTTTATGTACCCTGTTAAGTCAGATCAAGTTAACATACCATTAGTAGTGTAGTATAGCTGAGATTATCCTGCTGATTGCTAATTTTCTTGCAGAAATACTTAAGTAGTCTCACTTTATTATCTATATATCCATCCATCTTTTGATTTTATATACCACATTTGTCCTTTTCAAGGTCTAGAGGTCTAATGCCTATCCCAGAATGCACTGGGAAAAGGTAGGGTACACACAGATACTGCACCCTCATTTAAAGTTTGGGATGTGGTCCATACATGAAGGTGTCAGCTTGCAATTTCTCTCCATATGGTACTGAGTCTCACAGAGGCCAAAACTAATGGTGCACTTGTGAAGTTTCTGTCGACTCATAACGTCAAGAGTGTAAGGATGAGAAAATGCATATCCTCTGCCTGTCAGTCTGTATATGTATACTGTCAGCTCCTATGCTCTTTATTAGACATCCAGTTCTTTGCATCTGTCATGCCTTAAACCGTCTTGTCCAAAAAAATCTATGTGTTGTGCACCGTCAGTTTTCAAAGCTGGAGCCAATTTACCATGAAGTTCCACTGAGACGGATTTTCACAGTCTAGTCATCATTCATGTTAGAGTGCAAAATCTGAGCTTGTTGCATCCTTGTTTTTACATTTTTACCTTGCATATCCACATGTGCTTTCAGGCTTGTGACTCTGCCTCTCTTGACCCTTTCGATGTACATTTCCCTGTTAATAGCATTAGATTTCTACTTTTGGAAGAGCACAGTAGTGAAATATGATATTTTATTGCTTGTTTAAGATTTGGCTAGGTGCAACAACATGCAATAAATGCAAGGCACACTGGAAATAATGGTTTTCTAAGGTGAGGTCAAGGTAGCTATACTAGTAACTGACCTGGCCTTTTTTGACTAAATAGTCCTGCAGGAATTTAAAGCCTAAATTAGAATTGGACCAATAATGGAATAAAAAACATCTGTGTGGATTGAAACATAATTCTCACATGTGTCAAGACAAGACAGAGACATCACAGGGCAACTGTGGTATTTGACTCGATGTTAGAAAGGAGATATGCAAGGGTGTGAAGGGAAATTAAGGATGACAGAAAAGACAAAATCTGTCTTTAAAGTCGAGTATAACTCTTTAAGGTAAATAAACTGAGATACTTGATGACTGTCCCCACACAGTTCAGAATCCCTCCACTGACACAGTAGCTGTGGTGTGGCCTTTCTCCCAGTTGTCAGAGGGTAAAATCTGGAATAAATCTTTTGGATAATGCTGTGGTGTGTAGCAAGATGAAAGATTTAGGGGAAAAACGTGGAAAGAGAGATAGTCTGAATCAGTGACATAGGCAGTGATCAAACGAGCAATAGAGACGAAGACTAATTCACCCAGATGAGCTAATGCAGGAGACAGAGAACAATAATAGACAGCTAGAAAGTCCTTCAAACTTTTAAACGTCTTTAACTAACAGAGAGAAGGTTGTTTATGTGTTAAAATGTTCTGGAGCGCACTCAGATTTGATGACGCAGCGTTTTGCTTTCTCTGATATCAAAGAAAACAACAGCAGCTGTCAGGCGGTAATTTGTGGCTGCTAACACTTTGTGACAGGAGTGGGAGGAAAGGAGTAGCGAGAGGTGGAGAGAAAGCTAAAACAGGATTCCAGCACTTCAGGCTTTTGATGTGTGGCAGTGAGCTGAAGGTAGAGACGGTGGGTGAGGAGAGAAAAAGGAAGGGATTTAGGATAGAGGGAGAAAGAGATAACGAAAGAGTGATGGGTAAAAGAGGAGAGGGGAGAAGGGAGGGAGACACACTTAGGGTAAATGAGGTGATGAGAGAGGGAGAGCATGTAGATACTCGTGTAAGAAGTAAAAAGCTTAATGTTGTGGCTCTTCGGGAGTCTTGTCGCAGCTAAGGTGCAGATATGTTCAAATGCCTTCTAGCAACAATCCTTCAGAAAATTCAAATCTGTTCATACTATAAAGTTGGGAAACTTTCAAAGTGAGGAAGATATGCATAAACAGCAAGAGCAGACTACACATCCCGTCAGGGTGCTACACACAATGTTTGATAGACAAATGATTTCTGAGGAACTGCAAAGACGAAGCTGAATTTTTAAAATAGCATCAATCTTGCCAACTGCAGTGTGACTTTTAGCTGGAGGGCTATTTGTATTTGTGAATGTATGTGTGTGTCCTGATTACAGTCTTATGTCACTGGTTTCTATAGTAACAGATCAAAAGTAATCAAAGTATCTGTTTCCTGTGTCTTACCCTCAGGTGAAAGTGATGGTGCGTGTGTGTCCAGTGTCTCAGTTGGATGCAGCCGAGTCCAGCTCCTTCCTTAAAGTGGATCCCAGGAAGAAGCAAATCACCATCATGGACCCTTCAGCCAATCAGACACCAAACGCTGCTTCCCAGAAAAGGGTGGGAGCCAATCAGGTCCCCCCGAAGATGTTCACATTTGATGCCGCGTTCCCTCCTGATGCTTCACAGGTAAGAGAAAAGATTGTGATTTTACAGAACAAAGGATGTGGATGTGATTTAGATATAAAACCTGTCATGAGATCACACTAAGAGACAAGGTTTTCCTAAAAAATAAAAATGAAAAAATTAGGTTAAGTATTTACAAACTGGTGACAAACTGGCTCCCCATATTCTACTTTTTTAAGTACTTTTAGATTGTTTGTGACTCAAATGTAAAAACCTTTCATGGTTCACCATAAAAACAGCTAAGTTAGATTTGACAGCCAGTGTCGTACTACTGCTCAAACATTTAGAAATGGTTGAAATGGTTTATACAAAAGGCAAAAACACAACTCAAGTTCTCAAATGGTAGCTATGTGTAGCTATATGTTTTCTTTACCTTCTTCCTACATCTCCCTCCATTTCTCTCTCTCTGTCTGCCTGTTGCTAGGCGGAGGTGTGTGCGGGAACGGTTGCCGAGGTGATTCAGTCGGTGGTGAATGGAGCAGATGGCTGTGTCTTCTGCTTTGGACACTCCAAGCTGGGTAACACTCTCACACACATGTACACAGGCTAGAAAATCAGAGCGTGTGCAGCTTGTGAATAATCTTTAGTGTTTGTGTGTGTGTGTGTGTCTGACCGTCAGTGTGTCAGTCTTTCACTTGGCTGTCTCTCCACTGGCCCTCATCTACCAGAGAGAGAAAGAAGAGGATTAGTGTCTACTGAAGCTGAAAGCATTCTCAGTCTGCTCTGTCTGTGTTTCTGTCTTCCTTTCTGTCGCTCTAATCCCTCTGAAGCTGGGTTTTTAGAGAAGCTGTCTTAAAAAGGGTCAGGACCTCTCACTGCACACTGCAACATGTCTGAACCCATACACAGGCAGTGTCACAAAGACCCACCACACACACACACACACACACAGACACACACACACACACACACACGCGTGCGCGCTGTCATGTTCTTCAGCTCTGGGTCAACCCCTGTTGTGTTTATCCCTGTACATGGAAGCAGCATTATCCTTCTTGGCTTGTGATCTTCATACATCCAGGCAGAGTTTGTAAGTCTCCTTGAACTGCTGGCAGAGTTAAAATGCTGTAGTTCAGCAGGGAACACTTCAGTGTTAATGGTTGAGCCATTTACTGGATCAAACAGCGATGACGTTTCCTGTATAAACCAACATGCAAACCACTGTGCTTCCGTGTTGTGCTGCAGGGAATTTGTCCCTTGCCAAATCTGTAGTTAAACAAAACTAAACTCATTTCTAGATGTGTCATAGTTTTGGTCTATCTCATGAGGCAGTCTTCAGTTAAAGGATTTTTCAGTAATTTTTTCTTTTATTACAACATGGGTCTAATTTTTGTTTCCATTTACATTGCCAATTACATTGAACTCATTAGAGTAATTGCTGAAAATGAGAACACAGCAACGTTGCTACAACAAGGTTCGATGGAGCAAGAAAACATGAGCAGTCAGACAATCGACTGTAAACAAGCAGCAGTTTAGACAGATCAACTTAAGTTTAGATAATACTTCAGGCTTACCTCTGTGAACTGCAACGTCTGGCTGGAGACCTTTGTTCTATGTCATTCTCCACCTGTCCCTCCACTTGTTTTCTGTCATGTCTCTGCTGTACACTCCATGCTTCGTATTTTCTCCAATAAAAGGCACTTAAAATACTGAAGTACGCAGATCTATAATGTCAGTAATAATCCCTCATTGCATAGAGGATGAAAATATGAAATATGAAAATAAGTTCAAAGTTGTAATGACAAGAGATCTATATTTTTTTAGGCTCTGACACATATGCAAACCAGAATACTAAAGAGTAGGCACATAGCAGAACCTGCCCCCCGCTCCCCCCAGTAGATACAGGTAGGACAGATCAAACCAGCAGATGCACATACAATCACCACAGCTCTCCCAAGACACAAGCCCAACATGGTGTACACACCAGACAGCATGTCGAGATCAGTCTTTCGCATCTCACCATGTTTACATGTTTTCATTCAACTGTCAAATACTGACACATTAAAAAGGCCTACTGTGTCATGATTCATGATTGGACTGGAACCAATATGCCTAACACGCCCCAAAAACAGACCTCTAATTGTCTGTGTTTGATTATGTTCGATGATACAACTGAGTGTTAAGGCTTTGATACCGCAAGTGCTTTTATATAATTGAGAAATCCATCAAAGACAGTTTGCTCTTTCAATCAATTTTATTGTTATATTAATGCTATGGAGCAGTCCTGACCTTGCTGGTTTCAGTTTAAATGGCTGCTGCTGTAGTAGCAGATGAGATAATTCTTTGTGATATAGCTCACCTAGGGCCATGGATCTTAATGAGGCTGCGTTATAACAGCATTACCTTTTTTCTAATTAAAATGGGGAAAGTAACACATGAGCATTTATCTTCAACTCTGTGGCCCTTGGCTGTAGACACATACTGTATGTGGGACTCAGACACAGATAAGTCTACTCATGTACACACGTGCACACTCTCACAATGAGTACGTTTTTCATTAAATAGGAAAATTAAATAAAAGTCCAAATTATACAGAAAATAAATGTATGAACTTCAGGAATGTAATTGAATCCTCTGGCTTTAAAGCACAGTTAATAGATTTTAGTATCGGTTATTGGATTATTGGCCTCGAATGGATCATCTTTTAGTAATGATGAGTGTGCGTGTGCGTGTCTGTGTGTGTGTCTCTGTGTGCATGCATGTGTCTTTGAACTCATGATACAGTGCTGCCTTGTTCTCTCACACTTTCTCACTCCGATCACTTTGTCTCTGACAGCATCGGCAGCTCTGCTTGATGAGACCAATTACTGGAAATATACATCAACCACACAGACACGGACACACACACACACACGCACACTGCTTTATTGCCTTTAGCGTAGCATCACTATGTTGCAGTGTGGTGTTAGTCAGTGGAGCAGTCAGCTAGCTGACTATGTCTTGACAGCCTGTGGTAGGAAGAGAAGGAAAGAGAAGGAAACAACTACACATATCCTCACAACGATGTGTAATTTAAGACTCTCGCATACACACAGGCCTGGAAGGGGAAGAGAGAGAAAGGAGGGTTGTTGAAGTGATCTGCGGTTGTGATAGTGACACTACATAGAGCCATTATGACTGAGGGAGTCCATCTGATTTGTTAAGTGAAAAGAAATCAACTCGTAAAGCAGTTAAATAAATGTAAATGGCCCAGTGTTGCTTTTAAACAAGTTCTTTGAATGTAGCTGATCACCACATGTTGTATGATGATGTAAACACATGGTCTAAACCTTTTCTGACTAAATGCAACCCTTCTGGCTGAGTGTGTTTACTATTTCACCTCGAGGTTTTAAAATGTTTTCTGACAAATCATGAAATCTGCATCTTTGTTTTGACAGTAAGTCTAATCGCTCCAGGAAATACTGAGGGAGAACAATGTAAAATTACAGTGTAGCTGACAACCTCCCCTCCATCCCTATCTCAGAACAAATCACACACATTTCTGAGCCCTGCATCACAGGAGTCAGGCTTTTGATGTCCTCTGTCTTTGTATAAGCGGTTGTGTCAGTGTGATTGTATGACATGTGGCTTTGTGTTGGTGTGTGTTTGATCTCCAACTCGAGCAGGTGTGTGTGTGTGTGTGTGTAGAGGGTGTAATCATCATCTTGTGATGAATAATGAGAGATCTGGATGCTCCATGTGCACATTCATGTTCAAACACATACATTTCACACACACACACCTATTCATACAAAGTAGTTTTTTCATGTCTTTTTTGGTGATATCCAATTGTTATCTTTTCCCCCTTCCCCTATTTTGACTTCCTGTCTGTCTCTTCCAGGTAAATCCTACACAATGATTGGCCGTGATGACTCTCTTCAGACTCTGGGTATAATCCCCTGTGCCATCTCCTGGTTGTTTAAACTCATCAATGAGAGAAAGGAGAAAACAGGAGCACGCTTCTCTGTTCGTGTCTCTGCAGTCGAGGTCAGTGCTGTCGATGAGACCTCAATTTGACACGTTGCCGCCAGTGTTAAACAGGTGCCATTACTGATACAGACAATGACAGGAGACTCTTTTCTAAGAAGTAATGGCAATAGATAGCTGCAGTGCTATCAGTGTAGTGTTATCATGACATCTGTTTCCTATAACTGTAATATCTGTTGACTGTTCATATGTGTGTGTGTGTGTGTGTGTGTGTGTGTGTGTGTGTGTGTGTGTGTAGGTTTGGGGAAAAGAGGAGAACCTTAAGGACTTGCTGTCTGAAGTGGCTACAGGCAGCTTACAGGATGGACAGTCACCTGGAGTGTATCTGTGTGAGGACCCCATCTGTGGCATGCAGGTACACACACATGCACACACACGTGCACATATTTACACACATTGTTTATGAACAGCCTCAGGCCTTGTATCAATATGTTTTACCTTTGTCTTTTTAGCCACAGGCAGTTCTCTGTTGTCTTAGCTACTGTGGGATGTGCACGCGCATACACACACACACACACACACACACACACACACACACACACACACACACACACACACACACACACACACACACACACACACACACACACACACTACACACACACACTTTGTAGCAGCAGATACATTATAAGAGGTTTAGTATTCTATTAGTCTTTTTATCTAAAAATGCACTAGGCATTTATTAAAATAGCTCATTGGTGCAATGTTGGTGCGACTTCTGACTGGCTGAGAAAGAAATATGGTGTCTAGTGCAAAAATCTTGAGGACATGAACGAAAATGGAAGAATAACTTGAACTCTCAAAAATACAATGTCTTTGTTGACTTAATTAGAATTGCTACACAATCCACTTTGATGAGCAAGATTCAGACAACAAAAGGCACAACATTAAATGATCACCATCATAATTATTTTTATATTACTATCATTATCATTCACTTTAAGATAACTATCTTTTCTACGTATCATGTAGATGAGTGCCAAAAACATGACGGAGGGTGAGCTCTGTGTGTGTGTGTGTGTGTGTGTGTGTGTGTGTGTGTGTGTGTGTGTGTGTGTGTGTGTGTGTGTGTGTGTGTGTGTGTTTGGAGCTGCAGTTATATGTTTATAGGATTACAAAGTCTGATACAAGCACATCTGTGTAATCCTTAACTAATCTGACATAATCTCATCAGTAATGATATGCTGTAGTGCCACACACACACACACTCTCTCTCTCTCTCTCTCTTTCTCTCTCTCTCTCTCTCTCTCCCTTGCTAGCCTCACTCATCTCTGCTTCCCTCTATCTATTTACCTGCAGGCAAATTAGAAATGCTTTATTAGAATATACCAATCTGTCCTCTTAGTACACAATATTATCAGTGTTTGGAAACTTGGTAGGTAAACCGAGACCACCCCAGATTAGATTAAGTGGTATTTTCCCCCCTGCCTGGCTCTCTGTCCTCTGGCCACTTGTTACTAATTTCTTATCATGCCTATAAAAGTACAATAATCGCACTATTTTCTTTCTTCCCTCAAATTTTTCAGCTTCAGAACCAGTCTGAACTGCGTGCTCCGACCCCAGAGAAGGCAGCCTGGTTTCTGGATGCAGCCATAGCAGCTCGCCACAGCAGCCAACGCCCCAACACCACCGAAGAAGAACATAGGAACTCACACATGCTGTTCACATTACACATATACCAGTATCGTATGGAAAAGACAGGAAAAGGAGGAAGTAAGTGCTGTTTGTTCCAACACTGTTATTACTGTTATTACTGTTATTACTGATGCCAGTTCTTCTAATGTAATTGTCCACAATAAGACTTAACAACAACAACAACAATTACAGCTACTGTGCTTCTACTGGCGCAGACTATTAGCACTGTTGTTATCATATCGCACATTTCCTGCTGTGAGTCTCCCAGATAATCGTAGCAGGATAAAGGCAGACACAAACATGCTGCTGCTATTAATATAATGCTTCACCACATGTGGGACGACACAAAGAGTGGGTGTAAACAATGATAGACAGATCAATCTATTCACCAATCGTCACCATGGATAAACAGAGACCTTAAGCATGAGAATTCTTGACAGAGTTGTAGACATACCTATCACAGACTGTATGATCCCTTTATAAAATCCTGTGTTTAGATTAATTCACAGTCATATCACACACTCGCTCATGTCTATATAAATAACTAGGTGATAATGTAGGGGTAGTGTGGACTTCTTTGTGCGTGACAGTGTGTTTGACAAAGAGAGACTGTGACAGATGTCTTCCCTAAATATCATTGATAATAATTAGTTTCAGTGTGTATACACTGTGTGTGTGTTGTATGTGTGTGTGTGTGTCTGTGTGTCTGTGTGTGTGAGAGAGAGAGAGGGGAAGAGAGAGAGGGAGAGAATGTACTTGTGAGTATGAGAGAGGCAGAGATATCACATGCAGGCAATGTGTATGTTTAAGGATGACATAAACAAAGTAATGTTGGAACAGGCACTGTTTTTACAGCTATGCCTGCTCACACACTGTAAGTACAATTTTTAACAGTCCTAACCTTTAGAAAACTAAGATTCCCATTATGTTGCTCCAGAATTCATAAAGACAACTTCACCTGCAACCTTTGTTAATGTTCATTCTTATGATTAATTCAGGATATTTGAGGACTACATTCAATATTTGGATGAACTTACTTCTGTAGACATTGTGTATTAATTGATAATGACTTTGACTTGCTAAATTACTATATATACAGTATACTGTAATGCTAATGCATACTTGGTTATGGATATTTATCTATATTCATATTCATGAATATTGATGCTTGAAATAACAATTGTGAGGAGATCAATACATCTGCTGCTTCAGAAGTATTGTTGGTTTTATCGGATCATTCAGACTAATGGGTGCTTCTTACCTCATGCATCAACCAACCTCTGTCTTGACCTCTTTTAAAAAATGAAATAGGTAGGAAATTTATGGTAAAGACTGAAACATGAGTATGTTTCTTACACTTACCCCCCTTCCATCCTCTGTCATTCCTTTTCCTCCCAACATTTTTTCCACTTTGCTAGTGTCAGGAGGTCGCAGTCGCCTCCATTTGTTGGACCTGGGCAGCTGTGATGTCAAAGTACTTGGGGGAGGAGGAGGAGGAGGCGGGAAGAGCAGGGAGACCTCTTCACCCAGCTCGGCGCCTCTGTGCCTTTCTTTATCCGCCCTTGGCAACGTGATCCTGGCCCTGGTCAACGGGAGCAAACACATCCCATACAAGTAGGGAGTGTACAAGTGGTGTGTGCAGGTGTTTGTGTGTGTGTGTGTGAGAGGAGAGGAGAGGAGAGGAGAGGAGAGGAGAGGAGAGGAGAGGAGACGAGAGGAGACAAGAGGAGAGGAGGTGAGAGGAGACAAGAGGAGAGGAGAGGAGAGGAAAAGAAAAGAGAGGAGAATGTGTGAAGATGTGTTGAATAAAGTAAGAAAAAGAAATTGTAGCCAAAATCGGAGAAGAGAATATGAGAGGTCCAATTTGGCAAAAGAAGTGTGGAGAGGAGTGATGGGTAAGTATAGGAGGATAGCAGGATGTTTTGGAGCTGGAGGAGAAGAAGAAAAGAAAGCAGCCATCAGATCTCTTAAGTTGCTTCAGGTTTTGGGGACTTAATGTTATAAACAACAACAGCTGCTGTTACATATTCATCACATTCATTTTGCTGGTTAAATGACTGGCAACGAGAGCAAAGGGGAGAGAGGGGGGAGAGATGGAGCGATAATACGGACTGAGACTGAAAACAAAGCTAATGGTAATGCTGGCAGAAAGTAATAATACATGTAATGGAAAAAAATTCATAATTGCTGTTTAGTATGCACATGCAGTATACAGTATATACAGTATACAGACCAATCTGTAAATGTCCCCATTCTACCTTTCCCTTGAGTTAATTCCTCTTTTCTTTCCTCCTTTCTCTTTGCTCTGCCACTCTCCTTAAGGCTGTGCAGCTCTATACTCCTCGCTGGGTTAATTTAATCAGCAGCTTTTGCATTTACATTGCAAAACAACCTGCAACCCAACACTGAAGCTGTAAGCAAAGCTATGCTGAGTCTGGTTTGGCACTGGTGACTCAGACTGTTGTCAGACTGTGAGGGGATTTGGACAGGTTTTATAATAGATGCTTCAGTACATCCAAGAGCTGAGTGCAAGTCTGTAACATAGCAGTCACCTCAGAATCACAAATCACTGAGCAGAAATGTGTTAAAATCCAGCTACAGTCCAAGAATTCTGCTCCCTTCATTTCATCACAGTTAAATGAGGAGTTTTTCTCCCAGCGCTTCACTACTTTTAGTAATAGGGTCTGATCCTGTTCTCATCCAGGCCCCAGTCCTGCTCCAGTGCTGTTGCCGGGTAACCAATGACTGTATGCCAGTTGATCAGTCGACTGTTGGACCCTGTCATGTATTTGTAGCTTCCCAAAGAGGCAGACAGTCTCTGTTGTCACCACAAAATCAACACTATGGCTCTTGCAAGAATCCGAGCATCTCAGTGTGATCCCAAACTGCCAACTGTCTTGCAGGTCCCATGTTTCAGCCACAACATACTCATGTAGATTTAAATGCTAATCACAGATTCACTAAATGCCAACCCTCCTCATAAGGGACTCAGTACAGCGCCTTGTCCAAAATCAGACCACTTCCCATCTGGTTTGCCATCTCTCTCTCCTGGCAGAGCCCCCCTTTAGTCATAAAGCTCCCTGCGTTTTTTATTGATGTCACTCTATCAGCACACTTCAGGGACACAGTCAATTTTTCAGTACTCCAATATCCAGTCTGACAATTGCAGTCCTTGATATTAGCAAGATAAGTATAGAAATTCCAGTGCTCTTTAGGAATTTCTAGATTATCTTAATTTGTTCAGTCATACCTAAGTACAAATCTGCAAGCAAACAACATGTTTTGCTTTGCGTCTACTTCATGGTCACTCTTTAATATCAGCTTCCTGTAATGATGGTGATCTAGGAATTTGGAAGCTGCGTTCATTATAGGCTAGTTTTAGTAGACAGCATCATGTTACATACATTAGTCCTCGCTAGTAGATCTGAGGTAATAAATCCAGCACAGGCTGAAGTGCAAGGTCTAATCCAACATCTTTAGCACTTGAATTAACATGCAAATGAATAGTTCATGAGTCATGAATTTACCTACATTAATCTCAGGGAGAGATATAGAGATAGCTCGAGAGGGAAAGAGGAAGCCTGAGGCAGCAAACTGAGAAAGAGGAAGAAAGAGGAGAGGAGACGAGAAAAGAGGAAGAGAGCATTGATGAGAAAGAGGAGGTCAAGATAGGAGTGTGTGCATGCGTATGTGTGTTTATGTGCATGTGAATGTACACATATGTGTGTGAGACATGCCTGCAGGCTGTGTTTTTAGAAAAGGGGGACAGCAGCATGAGGTATTGGGCCACAGAGGAGCTGTGTTCACTGTCAGCCTGCAGGCCTGAGCACACACATGCACACACACACATACACACACACAAAAGGCTATGAATGATTGCAGTAGCCCACCCAAGAGAAAGTCTTTTCTTAAACACACAGCCTAGTTTTACTTTCCCATCTGCTAGAACAATCTCTCTGGGAGATAGATCATCTCCCAATATTAGACTGCGTAATATCCAGAGTGCCTCTTTTGAGATTTAGTCTTGAATAGCAACCTTTCATGTGTTTTTACAACATTAATCAATAAACATAATCAGTAGTTACCAATAAACTTTGCTTTTTGAATTTTTTAGCTTCATTTATATGAATATGTTAGCTTCATGTGTTCATTATGACATAGACTATTACCATAGCCTCCTTCTTGTCTTGTGACCAAATCGAGCTGTTAATAATCCTTCGTCACATGTCAGACATATGTGGGTGTCTGTTAGAAAATCGTCCAGTTTTGTCGCACGTTTGAGTAACTGTGTGCATTTCCAACCTGTCTTTAGTGCTCACATCTCAGTGTATGTGCGTTACCAGGGACAGCAAGCTGACCATGTTGCTAAGGGAGTCGCTAGGCAACATGAACTGCCGGACCACCATGATTGCTCACATCTCTGCCTCACCCAGAGATTTCTCAGAAACCCTTTCTACCATCCAGATTGCTTCCCGCGTCCTCCGCATGAAAAAGAAGAAAACTAAAGTCACTGTGGTGAGTTTTAATCAAACTTTGATGCTTCATTAAAATTGGGAAATAATTTCTCTTGATATCATACAATTAAAACTTTACATACATTAAGTTCAAGATAAACACAGCTACAGTCAGTGGTAATGTACCGTAGACAGATGCACACATAACTCACTTTTAATCAGTGTCCATGTCATGTCAAAACCTTGGCTTTGCATGAGCCATTACAAGTTGAATTTACTTTAATTTAAATGATGACGCTTTTGTGCTTGATTTCAAAACACCATGTATTTTATCACCTCCCTTTTTCCATCAAAACCACATGTCCAAAGTGCTGCTGACACCTGACACCCTCTCTCACCTTTCACTTCTCACACTCACTTATTTCAAAATTGTTCAGCAGAAGAAAAGGGGGTCAAGTGAGGGCTTCAGGCCTCTAAAAATAAAGCTCCAGCAAGAGAAAACTGAAGTCATGAGATATCTAAAAGTGCCAGTCTGGGATAGAGATGAGAATAATTAAATTGGGTCACTTGGGTAGGGTGCATGTTGGTCGAGGATCTGCATGGATGTCATCCTTTTTTCTCTCCTCTCTATCTTTCCCATCTCACTCCAGAGTGAACTGTCAATTAAAGGCTCTGCAAATCTAAAAAGGGAATATTTTCTCTCTCACCACCCTACTCTGTCTTCACTTCCCCCGTCATCCAATCTCTCCGCAGCAATACACCTCCAGCTCCTCTGGAGGAGAGAGCTCCTGCGAAGAGGGCCGTATGCGTCGTCCTACCCATCTGCGTCCTTTCCATCACCGAGGCGACACCGACTCTGACCTTCCACTGCTGCGACTGTCCAGTGACCCCGACGAGTATTCGAGCAGCGAGCAGTCATGTGACACAGTGATCTATGTTGGCCCGAATGGGGCTGCGGTGTCGGACAGAGAGCTGACAGACAACGAGGGACCACCAGAATTTGTCCCAATTATTCCTGCTTTGCTTCGAGGAAAAACGTCAGAGCAGCATCAAACACAAAGTCAAAGTCAAGCAGCAGGATCCCAGAGCAAGGCAATTTAAATATATTTACAACTACACAGTTTAGACAATCAGCAGCGTTCAGAAGGATACGTATTACATACTGTCTGATTTCTGCTCCAACAGGTGCCGCCTCAGCCAGAGGACCAGCCCAGTGGCCCCTCTCAGCCCCTGCCCCAGCCCTCTCAGTCACTACTTGGGCAGCCGTTGGCCCCTGTCCCGGAGGAAGGAGCCGAGTGCCTGAAGTGCAACACCTTTGCTGAGCTGCAGGAGAGACTGGACTGCATTGATGGCAGCGAGGAGGTAATGAAAATTTTCTGTTCTTTCGTTGTTGTTATTATTCAAGGAAAAAACAACCTAGATTAGGATGCAAATTAGAGAAAGAAAAATTACATTGCTCTGTTAGTGTAATGGGATCTGTATTTGATGATATATTGAAAGTTTGACAGGTTGTTTGACAAGTTGAACACTTTATTCAAATGGAAAATGTTTTTTTCTGTATCTGCTTAACATTTTTGCATGTATCTGAAAAAACCTTTTGCTCGCTGTCAGAATTTGTGTTATTTTCTATATATGTCAAGAAGCATATGATTTCAATTGTTTCACAAAATAATGTATTTGAAAAGGTGTTACCTTATTATTTTAAAGTGTTTGTACAAAACCTTGTTTATTCTCATCCATCACCACTGAAGTTCTCTTGGATAACAGTGTGTTCTTATAACAAAATAAAAGCAACATACGTGGCGACAATTTCCTTTTTCAACATCAAATCAAACTGTTGTATTCTCATATGAAGAATGAAGCCTTTTCATTTTTCAGCTTTCACTATGACCCTTTGTTCAGGTTGCAAAGTTCCCCTTTGAAGAGGTCCCAGCAAACAAACAAGGTGCCAAACAAGAGCCATGTCCATCTTCAGCTGTCTCATCCTCAGCTGCTGCTGTTCCCAGCTCTGCTGCTGTGTTGGATACAGAAGCCAAAACAGGTAAAAGCTTCAATTCGTTTAATACATATGCCGTATATAAATTTTGTATCCCAGTGTCACCCACTTGACCAAAAACTGGCTTTCAATGCTTCCAGTAGTTTTGTAATTCAGCATCAAATCAACATTTCCCTTCTTATTGTTCTTGCAACTCACCTTTGGGTCCTACTTCAGAAACCATTGTTTTGTGCAACATCTCCAGGCTCTGCATGTGCCATAGAAGGTGCTGTGCAGTTCTCCTTCTCCTCAGCAGCAGCAACCTCCAGGAGGAGGACCAATGACCAGCAGCTGCAGGAGATCAAGGAGGTGGTGGAGGAGGCAGAGCTGGCACAGACGATGATCCACAGCCTCGCTCAGAGTTCTGGTTCCTCCATAGTTACTAGTACCAGGAGTGTAACAGGAAGCAGCAGCATCACTTCTAACCCGCTGAATAGGATCAAGGGCTCCCACCTACAAGACAGGTGAGGATAGGTGGTGCTGCTACCCAAAGGAAAAGAAAACAAGAACTGTGAATCTTACTTGGACGGAGCCCTTTTTCTTGCAAATGTTGCTATTAGCCTTTGGAATGTATCTGATTTCAGTTGACATGATGTCTCCTTTGTTGTCTGTCTCTTTTGCAGCCGTGAGAGTCTGAATGTGTGCAGTAACGCTGACGCAAAGACACGCCCACTAGGATCACCACGCCTCGGCATCGCCAGCCTGACCAAAACCTCAGACTACAGGTGGTTTACACATGCATACTGTGTCAATGGGCAATAATGTTGACTGAATAACATCTTCCTTTAATTCAGTTTTAATGAACAGGAGTTGGACATGGCTAATAAACAAAGCACCAAAGACTGACTCCATAATGTCTGATTCTTGTCCTTCTCAGGCCTCCGTCCTCCCCGTCGCAGCGGTGTAAAGTGTATACGCAGAAGGGTGTGATGCCGGCAACACCCCCTCTGTCCTCACACACTCTAGCTCAAGATGGCCAGGCCACAGATGCTTTGACCTCTGACAGTATGCATCTTTTTACATGTTTATACTTTAGGATTATGTTTCTACTGAAAGCCTGAAATACATGTTTGATATTTATGATGACTGAAATTGAAAGTTAACTCTTAAGATAATTTTTTGAATTTCAGTTTTCCCACTTTGTTAATATATATTCTCTTTTTGAAAACTAGATTTAAGGCCAAAATAAACTTTTAGTACTAGTCCATCACATCTATCCACTCTGTATTGGAAATAAAATGATGTTACCTTATATACATAAGTAACTCATTGTTTACATGACTCTTACATTGTTTGTTATATAGTATTTTAAAGAGCCACACACTAAGACATTTCATGGTTATATTTCACTGTGTGTGATTTTACCAGAGACAGTTGCATAGCACTCCAATGTCAACTTGTAATAACACATATCTACATAGATTTGTTCTTTTCATTTAATGTTGTATCCATCTAGATTGAGACAGAGAATAATTCACATCCACACCAATTCTATTATATATCTAGAATTTTCCTTTTTTAACATATTGGTTTTTCTGTAAGTAATGTTATTGCTGTTATATACCAACCCTTCTACAAGGCAATAACAGAGTCTCGTAACTAACTAAAGGCATATTAAAATATAGTCACATACCGAGTGATCTGAGCACAACCAGTGCTTTGAAAGTGGCATCAGAGACTGATCCCAACTTCCTAAATTTACCAGAGCAGGAGTGGGTGCACGTATTCTGCACTTGGAAGACAGAATTAGTAATGACGCCAAATGTGTGTTTCTGATTCTGAAGACAGTTTGGCTGCAGACAGTGGCCGTTCCTCCACAGAGTCCCTGCTGTCCAGGACTTCTCCTGTGGGCATGAGCCCACAAGTGCGAGAGCCAACTCCGTCTCTGTCTGCCAGCCTGGGCTCAGCTGAGACACTATGTGACGATGACGTCCCACCGATACCCATGGACACGCACAAGGACGGTGAGTTGCAGAAAAACAGCTATTTTTACACAAGGAAAGGGTGGTGGTGAGATCCAAAAACAGTTATGAGTCACATTCAAACCCTCAGAATTGTAATGACAAATATGTAACATGAAATACACGTCGGCATCAAGAACAACTAGGAAATGAAGAAATGTCTTTTCTCTCTCCTCCACCTGCAGCCTCGGGACTCGCAGTATCTGTTGGACCTTTCTCGCTTGGGGAGGATGAACTGGTGTACACTGTGGCTTCTGGATGTGAGGAGGACCTTGATGTTGCAGCCCTCATGGAGACTCAGGGCCTAACCTGTCGTCCGACAAGCATCATCAGCTTCAATAGTGAATGTGGCTCTGTCACTGCCCTCCCTTCAGGCGCTCAGCACATCAGCGTCATCACTGCTACTGCTGAGGATGGAGCTGTGGAGGATTATAACATGCCTGCAGGTCTGGCAACAACCACAGGAGTTACAGAGGTTGTTGCCATGGCAGAGGTTAGTGTGACTGCTTTGCATTTACAGTAACAGTAACTCATTTGGTATGTGGGTATGTGTCCTAAAGAAGACTGCAAAAGTAGGACAGATGTAATGTGCTTTAAATTTTATGTTCTTGTCTTTTGGTTTGCAAGATGTCTCATCCGATTGTATGGCTCCCTATTGCAGGTGGCAATGGCCAAGTTGCGGATAGAAGGCGAAGCCTTGGCCACAGTGATGTCTAACTGTGGTTCGCCTGTCTCCTCCTGGATGAGTGATCTGAGCATGGGAAGTGAAGCTGACCAGTCTCTGCACAGCTTCAGCCAGTCCCAGAGCCAGCAAGGGGAGGCCCTGGCTGATCCTGAGCCCAACCAGAGCTTCGGAGTCGAGGGGCTGGGAAGTTATGAAAGTTGTGGCAGCCCGAGAAGAGGGAGTCTGGAGGGAGAGGTGGTGCTGCAAGAGAATGGGAGTGATAAAGGAACTCCGACCAAAGACAGGCTGAGGAAACTGCCTCCTTCTATGGCTAAAACTAACATTCAAATTCTGGCAGGACCTGGTAACCTCTCCCCTTTCAAGACCACGATAAGCATTCACCATTGTGTGGCTGTCAAACCCATCCAGGAACCAGCCATCCTCTCCTCACCTACCAAGACTAGCATAATGAAAGATGCAGGCAAATTTAATGCCCCACTTTTAGCTACTACTTCCAGTGAGATGAGCTTTGAAGACCCCTGGTTGAAGCGCGGCATGGAGGACGGGAGGTGCAGAGAGCTTGTGTGTGAAGCAAAGCCAGAGAAAAGGGAGGTAGACCATTTAAAGAGTCAGGCTGGAGCTGGGACCGGAGACCACCGGAGCTTCTGCAGGGATGGTAAGAAACAATACTGATGTATTCAAAATGAAAGACTTGATCAATTCTAAATTCCTAAAAACTATGAGTGTTTTTTTCAGGTGTGGATCATGGCAGCTGTAGTTCAGGTGGTGAGGTAGTGTCATCTCCAGATTTCTTCAAGAGAGTGGTGGATGGTTGTGAGATGGTCACCGTTGTTGCCCAGGGAGACTGCATGACAAGTATGTACAGCCCAGATATCCACCGTACTGCCAGTCTTCCTCGTGGCTGGCACCGTCTCAACCGACATGATGGCTTAGATAATGGAATTGAGTACCGTAATCTTGGCGTCACCACTTCAACTCCCTGCAGTCCCCGGGCTACACTTGACCGCAGGGGATCAACTGGAAAACAGGGTTTTTTCTCCCACAAGAAGGGGGGGATCCCACCTCTGCCACCGGTACGGAAGTCCAGCCTTGACCAGCGCAACAGGGCAGCCAGCCCTCTCCACCAACCCAGTCATGGAGTCTCGCTGATGGGCAGTTCAGCAGATGATTCAGGGATATCCGGATGTGGCCCCATAGGTGTCACCAGACAACGAGGCTCCAGCATAGACAGCAGTAGACTTTTCAGTGCCAAGTTGGAGCAGCTTGCAAACAGAACCAACTCTCTGGGCCGGGTACACAGCTCCCACAGCGGTTCTCACCACTATGACTGCTTCTCCCTGGAGAGAGGCGAGAGCCTGAGAGGGGGAGGAGGAGGAGTGAGGGGGGACAGCACCATGCCTCGCACTGGGCGCAGCCTCACCCGTGCTGGATCAGTATCTTCTCCTACTGCAAACATGACCAGCCCCAGTTTCAGTGGCAGTCCCGGTCCAAGCAGCGCTCCACAGTCACCTGCCAAAACCAACGGCCAGTCAAAGATCTCGGCTGTCAGTAAGCTGCTGATGACCAGTAGTCCCAAAGGCAGGAGTCTGTCTGCCTCCAGCACCAAGACTCTGAGCTTCTCAACCAAGTCGTTGAGCCAAACTGCCAGCCGCAGCTCCAGCCTTCCTCCTAACGGAAAAGTAAGAATGCTTCTTTACCGTGAATTTACTCACTTTCACCCATTTTAACACCTGTAACCTACATCACTCAGCTCAGTAGAAAAAGCTAGATGAACAACAACTTTTAGACCTTCCTCAGGGTTCCCTTTCACTCTCACACAAGAGGAAACACAGAACACATTTATCAATCAATGCAAACACTTCAAGCCGCGGTGGCCTCCATTTTTCCTGCCATCCACATCAGTCATTTCTCTGTTTCCTCAGCCCCAGAGCTCAGTCCAGAGCCCTTTGCAGCAGCAGCAGCAGCAGCAGGGATCTTCACCTGGATCCTGGTCTACCCAGTCTCTGAGCCGCAGTCGAGGGGGAAGCCTGGCAGCCAAGCTGCCACTCAGGGCTGTCAACGGTCGAATCTCAGAGCTTCTTCAGGGAAGTGCAGGCTCCCGTTCCAGGAGTCATGCCCAGGGAGGAGGCACAGATCCTGGAGAGGAAAGAGGAGTCGCAGGAGCAAGGTTAGTCAGTTTTACTTCATTTTCCATGTAAAATAGCATTATGATGTGCATGTGACAATTTCTAGCTTTTGGACACCATTACTGTGTTATGCAGGAAAAAGATCAATAACATATCTGACATGACAATAAAGAGGTGCAGACAGAGCCAGGCCAGACCATTTGATATTCTGCTGAAAATAAATTCACTTCATTTCGCAGTGGAGGGGGAGCTGGGGCAGGAGGTGGAGGTGGTGGTGGAGCTGGCCTGGGAGAAGAGAGAGCAGCAGTGGTCCAAACGTTGCCCTCTCCCTACAGCAAGATCACAGCCCCCAGAAAACCACACCGATGCAGCAGCGGCCATGCAAGTGACAACAGGTACAAGCCCGAGTTCAACTACAGATGAAAAGTTTTAAATCCTCACACAATATATTTGGTGCTGATGAAACAAACAAAAAAAAACATTTTAACCTGCTATTAAATGCGATCTCATTTTCGACTCTAACAGCAGTGTACTGAGTGGCGAGCTCCCTCCAGCCATGGGGAAGACAGCTTTGTTTTACCACAGTGGGGGCAGCAGTGGCTATGAGAGCATGCTAAGAGACAGCAGCGAGAACACAGGAAGTACCTCCTCCGCTCAGGACTCCCTCAGTGAACACAGCACAGCCACCACCTCCTCCAGACGGAGCTCCAAGAGCAGCAAGAAGAGCAGGAGCAACACGGGTAACAACCTATTTTCCTAAATATTGCTTTCACTCCATTGGACAGAGGTTGACAGAGGCATTGGCTTATTATTGTTTGCAGGCATTTGCCTTAATGACTTGAGCTGCAGTGGAACATCTGAACCTAACTGTGACAAAGCTATATGAATGATCGATATTACACTTAAAACTGCAAATACCCTGCTGCAACAAGAACATAAAGTCAAAATCTGAAATCAAATGAAAAATACATGTATACTTAGCTTCTGTGAATTAATAATATTTGAATGAAGTGATGAATGAATGGACAATACAGACACCAAATGCCAGGACGACATTTGTGTTCAGTTTCTTTTTACACCAATATGCACTTTTTTCTGGCCACTAACCCTAACACACATGTTCAGCATTTGACCGTGACAAGCTCAGCCATGACAAAATGTTAATCAGAAGACTTCCAAAGCTTTGAAAAAGAAATGAAAACCACTAGTCGCTGATAGAAAGAGAGCAAGAGACACTGCTATTAAGAAAATCCATCAAAAAGCACAACGAGAAAGCAATGGGCAGGTAAGGCAAAAGTGAAGAAAGCTGTGGTTGCAGAAGGAGCCAGGTAGGAAAGGTGACCCTGACCAGCCATCTGTGAAATGGTAAAGGGAATCTGCTGGTGTGAGCTGTAATGAATACATATTCACCAGAACACCACACAGACAGCCTGCTAATGTAGCCTCCAATTTACACTCTACTGGTTAACCAAGAGGATGGATATGTGCATAAAACCAGATTGGACAGAGGCAGCTCTTCCCGGTGTGTCTCCGATTATTGATTTAAATGAGAAAAAACCCTTTCCATCCATGCGTGTAGGATGTAACCTCACCTCCTGCCATGCAGCATAAAGTCTGGATTTACTCTCATTTTACTTTGACCACAGCTGATCCTGTGCTTAGAGAGAGCATTCACTACCAAGCTGTCACAAAAAGACACAAAGACAGAAACAAGACAGAAAAGACTGTCTATGTTTGTTGTACATGGAGGTGAAGACAGTAATGGAGTCTGTGTCCAAGATAGATAGACTGTAGATACGACAATGATCCAGGCCCAAATTCAGGCAGAGAGAATATAAATAGTAAGAGGAAGCAAGGACAGATGTGCCACAGACAGAAGCAATGTGTGAAGATATTTGTGCGACCGAAATGTTAATCACATCTCCAGCAGAGTCTCACATTGTGCTTGATTTCCATTAGACTGGATTCACTTGCTCTCTCTCTATTTTTGTTCCGTGTTTCCACCTGGTCTCATCTTTTTCCATCTATTCCTCTCACATTTTCTACCTCATTCATCCAACTCTCTCCCCTTGCACCTTCTCCTCCCTGCAGACCCTCATTCTTTCTCTGTCACCTTATACGCCTCTTCCTACTACATAATGAAATAAATATGTCTCTGCTTGACCCCTCTGTGCTGCACTGGGACCAAAAGACAGCTGCAACCTTATTAAAATTTTCTTTCTCCCTCTATCACACACCTTATCTTTCGATTCCCTGTGAATCTAATAACTCACATTCCTGTCGACATAGCTGGCAATTTCTATGCAAAGCATGTGTGTGCATGTTTGAGTGTGTGTGTTCATCCTAGCGTAGTGGGCAGATTAGAGACTGACCTACAGCTCTTATCTATGAGCTTCATGAAAAGAGACTAAACTTTTTATCTCGATTATCACTCCGTTATCTGTTTCTCGCTCTCTTTCCGCTTTTTCAATCACCTAATACTTCTCTTTTGTTACCTTCTTTCTGCCTCTCTCCAGTGATGATTCGCCCATCTTTTTTTCTCTCCTCTTGCAACCATGATCTATTTCCTCAGCTAATATCCTGCTTTCATGTTCATGTCCTATCTTCCTGTTTTCCCTGATTGCTGATGAAAAGCAAATTGTAAAGCAGGAACCAGCAGTGGTATCCTGTTGAGTTCAAAGACACTTAAGTACTGTATCTGCTGTATACCTGAGGATTGATACATTGACACATGCACAGCTGGAAACAGCTGCTTTTTCTTGTATTACCTTTTACCTCCTGAATGGTCCTATGTAACTGAATGGTGAGAAACACCACTAAGCCATGTGGGCCTACCAATATGTTTTTATTATGTTAAAGGTATAGTTTGACATTTTGGGAAATACTTGCTTCTCTTTCTTGTAGAGTTAGATGAGAAGATCATTTCTGTCATGTGTGTCTGTTTACAATAAGGCTGCAGCCAACAGCCATTAGCTTAGCTTAGCATAAAGACTTGAAACAAAGGGAAACAACTAGCCTGGCTTAAGGCAACAAAATCTGCCTACCAGCACCACTAAATCTCATTAGTTAACATTCCTATCTCATTTGTTTAATCCATACAAAAACTGAAAAGTAAAAGTCTTACTTTTTTGTTGTGTTGAGTGTTTATGTGCCAGACCTTTTCTTGGCCGGACACAGTGACTTTGTGGAGCCTTCTTGCTGTGAAATCGCCAAGCAACCAGCCTGTAATTATACTGCATGGGAGACGCACAAGTAGTATCAGTCCTCTCATGTAACTCTCGGAAAGAAAGAAAACGAGCACACTGAAAAATCAAAACCTATTTCTTTATCGGTATAGACTAAAAAATGAAATTTATTTGGCAATAAAGCCAGTTTTTATTTTGCCAATTATTTGAGCAGAATATCATCTTGATCCAGTTATGTAATTCAGTAGTAGAAATTAAAGCCAACTGAGTATCAAGCTAAGCCATGCTAAAGCAGTTTGCATCATGCACATTTATTTGGTCAGTTGAAGGATAGAGTCTCTCAGTAGATTTAATGAAGAAGAGCCACTGACAAAATCCACAACTCACCACAACGCATTACTCAAAATCAACGTAATGCCAATAGACCAGTATCAGAATAAACATTGAAGAGTGAGGATAATTCATGCTACTTAATGAATGATAAGAGAGTTTAAAGGCTACAGGATATAGTAGCATAGAAAATGTGTTTCAGTGTCTTGAAACATTTTGGTGGTGGTGGGTGTAACACTATTTTTTGTTATCTTCATCTTATTTATTCTTTCAGGCCTCCAGCGTCGTCGTCTGATCCCAGCACTGACCTTGGACTCTTCCTCCTCCTCCTCACCCTCTCACCGTTCCTCCAAACAGGCCATCACTTCCTCTTCTTCCTCCTCCTCCAGCCCAGGTGCCTGCTGGGTAGATGGCCCACTCGGGCCCCCAGCTCCCTCAAACCTCCGGGGCGCGACAGCAACGACCGAAACCTTTGAGATCAAGGTATACGAGATAGATGACGTCGAGCGGCTGCAGAAGAGAAGAGACAAAGGAGGGAGCAAGGTGAGAGGGAGAAAGGAGGGAGGGTGAGGTATGGGTGAGAGGAGGAATATTCAGAAACATGAGTGTCCGTAGTAAAGATACATGTTGTCGGTAAACAAATGTTGATACTGACAAGAGTAAGAGAAAAGGAGGGAGAAAGAGAGAACAATGTTGTGTAGGGGGTTTTTGGAAACAAGAGAGGGAACAAAGAAAGCAGGAAAGAGTTAAAGAAAGGAGGCTGTGTGTGAGGGTATGCGGTGCGGTGGAGGGTGAAGGAGACTGAGGAATGGATGTAGGGAGAGAATTAGAGAAGGCTAAATGCAAAAGAGCAGAAATAGAGGCCCAGTGGCCAAGTGGCATGTTGCACTTGATGTCAATGAAATTGATTTGATGAATAATAGCTGTGGGTCACATTAAAAAGCACTAAGTGTTTCGGTGGACACTGCTGGAGAAGAGGGTGAAGCTGGGGAAGAAAAGAGACACAGGAGGCTCAGGGATCTGAGCTACTGTGTGTGTCAGTGAGGAAGCAGACCTCAGAAAAACCAACAAGTTTAAAAAAACATCAGTAAGGATTTTCACAAAATGAATGAATCAACATTAGCACTACACTCTGTGTGCATAGTGAGTGTTTTTAATAAAAATACATTCTCTTTCCCTCTGTGTCCCTCTAAATTCCTAAGACTTTGCAGAATACATGATACAGACTGAATTTGTTGCAAATAAATGCAAGCATCATTGTGAGGTTTGTGAGAGAGGGGAGAGAAAATCATGAAATATAGATTTTCCCCGCAGCGGCCTTAAGAAGCCACTTAACCCCCGACTGCTCCAGTGAAGCTGCTCAGTGTCCGAATGTGCTCGGCTGCTGTCACACTGGAGTCGATTAGGTGTGAATGTTTAGCAGGCACATGTGTTTCACGACACACTCCCCTGGATAAATAAAGGTGAGTAAAATCCATATCTGTCTGTGTGTCCTCTCTCTGTGCGTCAGGAGGTGGTGTATGTCAGTGCCAAGCTCCGTCTGTTGGAGCACCGCCAGCAGCGGATCAGTGAAGTCAGAGCCAAGTACCAGTGTCTGAAGAAAGAACTGGAGCAAACCAAACAGTACCTGATGCTGGAGCCACACAAATGGACCACTGAGTGTAAGTGTAGCACTGACACATCAGGAGAGGTGTGCGTGCGTGCGTGCGTGCGTGCGTGCGTGCGTGCGTGCGTGCGTGCGTGCGTGCGTGCATGATAGAAAAACAGAGTGACGCCATGGTGTGATTGTTGGATCTTGTTGTGTATTCTGTACTAGTGGTTCTCAACAGGTATAAAACGTTTTTTCATGAGAAAGAAAAACATTGTCCATATTAGAAGCAATCATGCATTTTTTTGCCAATGGTTTTCAGCCTGTTGTTGATATTTTCTTTGTATTCTGAGTGTAAGAGTGGTCCCATCCAATTGCTAATTGAACCAGTGTTCACTCCTGGATAAGACTGGCATTATTCTATATATTTTGTACTGTCAACAAAAGCAATGAAAAGAACAAAGGTAACGATGCATTAGTCTGTATCATTACTTGACACCACACCATGACACACACTTGTGAACTCACTGGTTCCTTCTTAAGACATACATCTTTTAAAATGGGCCTCAAATATATAGTTTCACTTTTTTAGCCATTACTCTAATAGGAGTAAACAGTGTATGGGAACTATTTTCAGCTGTGGACTGACACGAGGTGCTTGACTGAATAGTTATGACAGCAGGACATTGTATGTGAGATTGATTCAAAATAAATGAATATAGTGTGTGTTCATCATAATAAAGGAATATGTCGGCCTGTGCAACAGTGTGGCTGAATGATGTGTTTCAGTTTTTGAACAACAATGGATGCCTGTGACACTGAGGAGTAAGCTATATCAGGTTTTAACTAGGAAGACAATACTAGTTATTTGGATCAATTCATTGATGTTTTTTTTTTTTTTTAACTTGGGATTTGTTTATAATAAGAAAAATATAGAATATCACCAGTTCTATCTGTTGAACTGATTAATTAACCCAAAGTACATACAACAGTATTTTAGCGTGTGACTTTTTTCTCTGCTTCTCTGTCAAATATCCAGTTGAGCTACAGCAGGTCTACGAGGTGGACTCACTGGAGTATTTGGAAGCTCTGGAGACAGTGACGGACAAACTGGAGACCAGAGTCAACTTCTGCAAAGCCCATCTCATGATGATCACCTGCTTCGACGTGTCCTCAAGACATCGGTAGACAGAGGGAGAGAAGGAAAGCAGGAGGACAGAGAGGTAGACACACAGCTGGACTCTATTAGATGTTGATTAATCAAACAAATTTTGAAAATATCTCCTAAGTAAATACATCTCATTGGATGACTGGATAGATGGAGGAGGGGGATACAGGGATGATCCACTTAATTCATCATGTCAGTCATCCTGTGTGTCCAAATGTAAGTCGGCAGAAGGACAGATGGATAGAGAGATGGAGGGATAAAAGGAATGGAGATATCTAACAGGCCAACAGACAGATGAGCTTGTAGATTTTTGTAAACAACCTCAGAAACAGTCACTGAACAGCATCTAATGGACAGGCTACTTTGAATCAGATAAATATGGCTGCCCGAAGGGGCAGACAGATGGTTGCAAGTCTGAAAAAACACATCAAACGTGATCAAGTGACCACATTTTTCCAGAGAACTGAATAATTGGACTGCTGAGAAACCTCTTGGACTCAGTGGAACATTTAGGAATGTATGGAGAGGAAAGAAGAGGAGAGGGGAACAAAAACTGCCATTTTTTAAACCGAGAAGGATGAAGGAGAGGTGAAGGAGAGAAAAAGAACAACTCATCTCCCAACATTTTGGAAGAGCACTTTTTAGAGTACACACAGTTGAGAGCCATTGACTGTAAATACAGAGTGCTGACGACAGAATGGCCTGGTATTGTTGTCAGTTGATAAAAGAGACTGACCAAGAGAAAGACAGTAGGACAAAGAAAATGATTTAGATAAGTGCCTTGTGAACATTTCAATACCAAGACCAATTCTCTTACTCTCTGAATATGTGTACATGCAGTAAGTATGGTGCTAGCATAGAAAAAAACACACACAAAAGATCAGTGTCCCTGGAAAATCTTTGAATTTATAGCCATTACTAAATGTGATGTTTTACTGTGGGTCAGTGCTTCATATTATCATGTTATAAGCAAACTAATAGTGTATGTTTGAATCATAGTTGGTATACTGATGAGAGATGAGGCTAAATTTAAACTTTTTGGATCCCTAGCAAAAGAAAAGTTAAAGGACGACCTACAGAACATGAGGACCAACACTAAGTCCTCTTTAAAACAACAAACCAGTTGCAAGGACCAAAAACTGAATTTGAAAAACATACATGATTTTTCCAGGACACAGAGTAATGTGTGTTTAAACAGAGAAAACAAAAAAAACAAAAAAAACACACTAACGCTAGGTTCTTGTGGTGTTGTTTCTTCCCTTGACTCTACTCACAGAGCACATCTGAATTTTGACCCTCTGGAGCATATATACCATATATTCCCCGATACAGTTGTGATGGCTTTTTCATGTTCACAAAGCAATGAAACATCTGAGTCACATGAAAGTGGAAATGAAAATGTTTTTCTCTGATCCAGTGTTAAGTACATCCATTGACTGACTGACAGGCGGACTGTCTGTTATTTGTATCTGTGTTGTTCTTCTCTATTCTAAAAGAAACTGAATGATTTGTCAATGTGTGTGTTTTATAATAAGGTATCCTTTTTTATTTGAGTGCAATGGGACCATGTAGAGACTATGTATGATAGTACGATCATGGAAATAGTTATGTAGAGATATTTAAGAGGAAATTATGAGGAAGAGACAAGTACAGGAAAAGCCCATTGATATACATTTTTTTTAATTGAATTTCTATAAGGCCTGTATACGGAAGCCCTGAAAGACTCGTACAAGTGGTGCTATGCCGAGCCGGCCGAGCCTGCAGAGCAGAACAAGGACTAATATAGGCAGCTGCAGTTAGCGGGCTAGCTGTTTAACAGTTATCAATGGGCTAGTTAGCAGTGATTGAACTTATTATTAATTATCTTAATATAGAACATTTTAATGATACAATCTATACGATTCATCTAAAAGGCTTATCATATGCCAGATCACCCATCCCTAGTTTAGACAGGGAGAAATTGAAAATGCTTTTAGTCTGATTTAGAGCGGGGTAGTGGTGCACCTCAACCTCTTGTGGCCGGAAGGAGTAGCAGAAAAACAAACAAAAGATTTTGTTTTCATAGATGAAAAAAAAAAAAAAAAACAGAAAAATGAGCCTGAAAAAAACAAAAAGTTCACCTGTTTTCACAAATGGAAACAAAAAATTATCTCAACTGATCTTCATTTTTTTTTCTACTAGCCTCTTGGGGGTTTCACAGATGAAAACAAGAAATTATGCTGGCAAAAATACATAAAATTCACTTGCCTTTCAGGGCTTCCGCACCTATATTGGAACATAGTGGTGAAATTAGACTGAAAATACTCCCTAGGGACTACAATTATTGTTACAAATGGCCTACTTGAAAAGTTCCAGCATTGTTTAAAGACATTGTAAAGGAACAACTAAAAACATATAGAAAGGAAGGAAACTAAAGAAAGAAAAGGGTGACAACCAAATTATGAGGCATAGATCTCTGCCTGGTTCCATTTTTTTGGATGGATAGCATCACATAAAATTTGTTAATATTATTATCTATGGTGCTTGAGATGTTTATGATCTAAATGTTTGTACAAATATAAATATTTGAAAGAGCCTGTTTCCCTCTGAAATACAGAACAATACCCTTCGAATGCTTCTTCTACATCTCTGTCTGTTGTTGTCAACATCCACCACCCTCCCCTCTGAGCGCCCTTTGCCCAGGAAGCAGAGAGCATTCTGGGAGATCCTGTTTGTAGTCTGAGAGGTAAAAGAAGGAATAGACTTCACAGGAGATGAAATGCTGTGATGTCAGTATGATTTGTCAAAAGCTTCGTAGTGCTAAATTTATCCAACAGAACAAACTCAGTTTTTATATTTTCCACTGGACTGATACAAACACAGAAAATATCTGTTTCAGGTTTTGATCTTCTAATGCCCGTATAGAGACATAACAGTTATTAATTTCATGTGCTGTACACCCGCAGTGGCAGCCATGAGATAATATAGTGGGAAATTATCCCAGTAAGTCACATGCTTTGACAGACTGGACCCATGAAGTGTTTTCGCCAGAGGTGGGCAAAGTGCTCCTGTGATGTCTCCACTTGTTTCCTTTATCTCCCAGTTCACTGTGCAAGTCATGAATGAAGTTTTTATTTATTTGAGCTCAGGAGAGCAGAGTTGCTTATTAATGTTTTTATTTATTTACACCTTATGATCTTAAAAAGTTACTATGCATTTAAGTAAAATAAAAATAACTGTACATACTTTGCTGAGCCCATGTCAAATATATACTGTATACATAACATATATGCGCTCATCTTTATTTATTTATATATTTTCTGTTGATTTCATTTGCTCCTGCTGTTCCTGTTGGGGATTGTAATGGGTTTGGGTTTCCTAAAACTTCCACATCCAGGACAGTTATGTGGTTCCAGCACAACAAAAATTTTCATTCGAGTAAATTCTGAGCAGAACTTAAAAATGATAATCTTTTACATGTAAAGAAGAAAACATTTTAGCATGAAAACAGCTGTGTTGTCTTAAATGAAATTCCAGTATATTCTACAGTATTAAATACAGCCTTGTGTAATTAGCAGTGGATGTTTTGGGAACCCCAACCTCTGGATGAGCTTAATGGCCTGTACTTGTTTCCCGTTTTAAAATGCTATGTGTGAGGTTTCTTCCTCCATGTGTCACTGCCAAATGAACTACGGTAGCGCTTTATAATTCTAGCAATAACTGTGAAAAACACCTTAGGTTTTGGTGGACTTTTCAGGAATAAGAGTTCCTTTTTCATCAGAGGTAACCAAGCTAAAAGGGATGCACTCATTGCAAGGTGCAATAAAAATCTTAAAAATCTTTTATGTCATGTTGTAGGACAAAAAAGAAAAACAATAAGGAGATACAGTCAATAATGAACAAATTGATATATGTGATGTTAAATGTTTTGCAGGAGCTTTCAAGAATTATACTGTGTTATCTGGAAATTTGACACATAGCATCTTTTAAAGAGTATTGTGTGTTAAAGTCTGGGTCAGGCCACATTTTACCAAAACTTTTTTCTCGCAGTAAGGGAAATTTTAGTTCTGTTCAGTTTTAAGGGTCAGCTGTGGGAAAATCTGTACAGAACTTATTAAAACCAGTTTGTCTGTGTCAGTTTACGACACAATGAAATGATGAAGTGCAGGATTCTCACTGGGTGTGTGTTGTTTCCATCCGTCAAGACTGTGATCGTACTCTCCTCTGCAGATTTACTGTTTTTGAGAAATGTGGTCTGACACATTGTGTTGATGGAAGAGCAAGATGGAGGGATGTAAATAAAGGAATGTATTGAAAGAGTTTTGACATCTGACTCTTCCTTGTTTCAACACAGAACAGTCAACAAAGTGCCGGCCAGACATCTGGTATGTGGTCTGTCCCAATCCCAATGAAATGCCCATAATTTGCATTATTACTCAAACTCATCACAGATTAAAAAAGATCTACTTGAAACACAGCTGGCGGGCAGCCGTTCTATGACTCCATACATTGTGACACGAAAGTCTGCTGCATTTATTTCTCTGTGTTTAGCTGTTTAACACTCATAAACAAAATTGAATCCCACAGTAAATCCAAACAGCTAACCATCCCCACTTGCTCCAAACCGGTTACTGCAGACCATGTAGGCTCTTTGCTCAGTTACCTATTTGCCTTTCTGCTAGCATGTACAATAAGCCAGATGAAGCAATTCTTATTTACATTTTAAAAACTACTGACCAACAAACTGAAAATTAGTTTTAGGCCATGTCTTATGTTTTTTCCACATTAGCTATTGTTTGTTGTGTTTCTGCGTCCATGTACAGAAGCCAAATGGACACAAGGTGTCAGCAGTTTTGGTTTCATTTTTACAGAACATAATACACACTGAATACAGTCCCTGGCTTTTTGGGATATGCCTCTGTCAGGTAGTCTACTGTTTATCACTTCAAAGCTGCAATGGTTTTAATTGTTTCCTCAGGGAATTTCTAAATTTGTAGTGTTCCAGTTATTTCTGCCAGACATGGTGTAACCCTGTCACCCTGAGAAATGACTGATCAGCCCAGAGAAACTATTTCCACTGCTGCCTCGAGTCTCAGTCAGCCGACTTTCCCTGGAATCTATTATCTTGTGACGGATACTAACATTGAGATATCTGTCACATTGTGTCACTTTTTCACAGGAATATTTTTAATA